ATCTAATACTGTGTGCAGTCTAAAGCAAATGCCATATGAATTGTGAGCAGGAAACCATAAACCAGTATTTTTTTGACAAGTTCACTCTCTCAAAACAATGTTAAAATGGTGAAAATCGTGCAGACTATGGCTTAAATACAATCTATAGCAAGTGTAAGTAAGTCGTAAGTGAAAGGTAATTCCATCTTATTTTGTTTGGACATCTGAAGTGTGAGAATATTTCCAAGCCGCACAACTAGGAGGCATGTTGCTTTCTCCTCTCTGCCACCTCCAAGATGGCGGCGACATGGCTATGTTTAACTTCCAATAGAGCTTCCATGGATGTCTATGCTCATTACCATGTGATCCCAGCGTTGTTTGTAAACATGCGTCAGCCACATGTGATTGTGAGCGATGAGGAAACGCTCTCCAGCGGCTCGGCCAATCAGCAAGCGGGGGAGTGTCGAGGGCGGGGCTTCCGTGTTGCGCTATGGAAAATCGTCAGGGGATACACTGACAAACATGCGCTCTGAGGTTGATAATAGCGACCATGGTGCTGAAACTGGGACGGAGCGGACCCCGAACTGCGCAGCAAAAAGGGTCGGGTCTGAGAGCGGCCGAGTCCAGGAGATGGCTGGGGTGCGGGCTTGAGCTCAACTCGTAAGTTATTTATGTCATTACACGGAGCAGAGAGATTATTGCGTATGTTGCGTCGAGAATAGCACTATGTAATTCATAACCATCGCAGTGCTGGGATGAAAAGGTAAGAATCAAAGCCCAGAGGCGCTCGTCAAACTAGGTTAAAGATTATTTAAAGGGAATAAAAGTGTTCCCAGTCATGCAGAAACTGGGATCTTGCTTATGTGAACGACTGTTCACACTTTTTTGACGTCCGTAACGATTCACCATCGACGTGACAACAGGTAAATGAAACTGCGTCAGCGCGAAGTCCGACAAAACCAGATGAAATCCGGTGGGAATTTCCGCTGCGATGGTACGAGCGCGGGGTGGCGGCTGTGTTCGGGTTGCTCGGGAAAACTCGACCTGTGTCCAATTTTTCATGATTTAAAAAAACAAAACAAAAAACGAGGATGTAAACAAAACGTGGGCTCGGCGGGGATGGCGTGTCAAGGAAGAGCTCGGAATAGGATGCTGCGCAAGAGATGGACAGTGCGTAATCCTGCTGTGGGAGAGGACGATGTTACGCAGTGCATATTGGAGCGATCATTTAACGCCCCGTGGCCTTTAGGGCCTTGTTGTTATTAGAATTCGTTCTTTTCTTTTCCCCAAGAAAAACACTCAAAAGACTTGACGCACTTATCAAATACGGAGTCGCAGATCGTCGCGGCAGGGTTTTTCCGTGTTTTTAAAATCTACAAGCTCGAGCTTCAACAATGACGCAGCTTTATTTGGGTTTCAGGTGTCAAACATGATTTTTGCTGCGTCACAGAGATCCCACGGGTCCGAAACGGTGATCTGGCTTTATAGTGCGCACTTGATATGTTGAAAACAAGCTGCGCTTCCCGAGTATAGGGGGCGCTGTTGAGTAACACGCTCCTCGGGCTAAAATCAGCTGCTGTGAGGGGATGTTGACATTTRAGAATCACATATTATGAAGGCAAACGCGGAGTAATATTTATATTATTTTCTTCGTGSGTGTTAGCGAAATATCTCACGAACCACTGGACGGATTTAAATGAAACTTTCATTAAGTAATGATTGGTGGAACATCTACAACTGATTATGTTTTGAGGTCAGTTCTATTTAACTGAGTCACCACAGCTAAGTGACTTTAGCAAACACACAAAAAAGGACACAGCCTTATTTATTTATTTATTTATT